ACTCCTCCACCCTCACCTACCTCAGTCATCCGTTCCACCGTTGTTCTCAGTTACACAATTCTGCTGTTCTCAATTGGGTAGAGCGTCATGGGTTTAGCGCAGCAGGCGAATTCCTCAACTCTCCGTTTATTTATCCGTCCTTTTCCCCCCTCTGTTTTGGGGAGAAAGGAACGGCCTAGGCCAGTTCGGCCTAGCTAAGAGAAGAGAAAGCTCTCAGCTGCCTCCCAAAGTAACCGTGTGATTATTTTTTTGGAAATCATTAGATAAGTGAACAGATCGATGTCAGGAATGTAATTAAATAATTTTATCGACTTACACTTTAGTTTTATGGCTTTGTTCAATGTGCGAACGTATTTTTGAGCCAGCCAATATTTGAGTAAGAAACTAAATGATCGTAGTTGCAAATAATCATGAACAGTCTAAATGATCAGAATAGACCGGTGGACACTGTTCGCAGTGCACTGAATTTCTCCTGTCGGCAGCGAACGGTTTATCTATTAGTGAAAAATAAGCCGCTGTCTGCAGTGAAGATGAGAAATTTTGCGCTAACTCGGAAAATAGAGAGAATTTAAATACATAGTAATTAAAATGTTTGTCTCGACGTAACTAAAAAATCCATGCACAATTAATGTGCAGCTCATACTTCACTTTTCTCGCGCACCTTCGGCCACGTCACTACGCTGTCAGACGCTGCCGCTGAAATTTACACTGCTCTCGCCCAGTGTGCCGAGTTTAGAGTTGGAGCGTCCGTGAACGGGCCTCTTAAACAAAAACAAATAATACAAACCTAGAATATTCCTCCTCATTTTATCTCTTCAATAAATGACCATTTAGGAGAAAATTAATACGGCGACTTGATTAAATGATAAAGCTCGTCCAAAGAACTTATTTTAAATGAAGCACTACATCTACGATCAGACACTCAGAAAACTATGTTGGTGCGAGAGTACGGAAAAAATTATTAGCAATTTCACTCAACATAGACCACATAAGAAGCAGAGATTTACTTTTGCATGTTTATATAATAAAAACTCGATATATTTCCATTATCAAGGCTGATAAGTTATGAATAGTCAATAAGTGTACTATTGATACATTACTTTAATTTTTCACATAGATAATGAATTATCAGCACAAGATAAAATAACTGAAATAATGTAGGGATTAAACTTAGATATTGAGATATTTGAAAATAAATCAAATCATTGCACACAACATTCAACGAATGATGATAAATGTCTCTCGGTCGAAAAACTAATTCAGTTGCATAAGTTTCTGTGAGTTCAGTAATCGAATTTCATCAGACGCGAGTGAAGGCCCATTCCAGACCAATATCTAGTTGCGAAGCCCTAATCACTAAATTCATTCTCGCATTTGCAGAGAACATTTCTTTCTCAAACACAATTCGCTTCACGCTACTCAGTGCACCGATTATCAGCAGAATGCAGACTCCGTCGTAGGTCAGGCCGCAGGCAGGCAAGTAGATTTCAGTCTCGCTGTCACAAACATAAGATTAGTTCAATTCATTAAATGCTGTACATAGAATAGAAAATAGGTAATTGAAAGGCGATCGGTCAACATAAAATAAATGTTAGATAATTGGTGCAATAAATTATTGCCACCGAGATTTTTTAACGGGAGTCTCTTAAGAACTTTGTATACGTGTTGATAAGATNTGGTTGAACGTTGGAACACAGTATAATAATTAACTAGCAATTGAAATTAGTATTTTATTAGTACCACAACTATAAATGAAAATTCGGTATTATGGATTATATCATATGTATGTATAATATGTATTTTGGCTGGTGTGATTGGGGACCAGAACATACTTTTTATTAATAATTTTCTTATTTCTTACAATAAGCCGAACAAAATTTCTTGCTGGTGCTTCGAGATCAAAATATCTTGCTGGTGCTTTTTATTTGTTCATTCTTCATCTCCAAATTTCAATTTTAAGCTTTGTAATAACTCTTCACCTACTTGATGATAAATATTGAATATTCGAAACGTCGTACTCGAGTAAAATGTTATTTGGTAACCTGCTTTTTGATCTCCAAGCACCAGCAAGAAATGTTGTTCGGCTTATTGGAAAAAAAAACAAAAGAAAATTGTTTACAAAAAGTACGCTCTGGTCTTCAATCAAACCTGCATAAATGAAGAACTTCTGCCTAACTATTGTACACTAATAATATGTATTCATCTATGTATCAATAATATTGATAAAAATATGGAATTTATCAATGCTCATTGAAGAGCATAATGTACTTCAATTTAAAGCACGATCGGTAACTCTGGCATGGGCTGAGATTTTTTCAACATCATCATTGTCATTCGAGCTTTCGATGTTGCACCACAGAACGCTTGATGAATAATAATCTTTATAATAATCTTTATTATTCAGAATGGCTGAAACACAAGAAGTTACTCTCAATTTCACGAAAGAAAAATTATTATATAAGTATTGAGATCATAATAATAATAAATTATAGCGGTTTTAGCGTTTAGGAGGCCGTAGGCCTGTCGCCGATTCTTAACATCACAGAACATTCACATCATTTTGCGGTCTCGAACCCGCAACTCACTGCTACAATTCTGCTGTGCTTAACCGCCCGGCCTCCTCGCCGATTCTGACCAGAAACTGGCGCACAGAGCTGGGATCGAACCCGCGCCTCTCTGCGCCAATCCTGGTACTCTGAACTGTAACCACTGGGCCACCCTGCCCTTAAGATGATTAATGATGATTAATCAACGCAGAAATTTCGCTAGTCATTAATCTGATGATGATAGTTTCCGATCGATTACTGGATTTAGTGTAGGACAAGATAGGGGGGCTTAGTTATGTGCCTACTTCTCTACGTTATGTCAAATGTGAGTGAAATCCCATTCCAGGTTAATTCTTGTCAATTTAGCAGCTGATTCTAATAGAACCTTTTCCGATGGCGGGAAAATATCTTTCTCAAACCAGAGTCGCTTGATGCCACCCAATGCTTTGACATCCTGCAGCAACTTCATGACTCCGCTGTCGGTCAGGCCGCAGGCAGGCAAGTAGATCTCTGTGTCGCTACCGTGCAAAAAAGGGTAAGATTATTTAATGATTGTCATCGGATAATAATAATTTCATTTATACTCTCGATGATGTACGAAAAGCTAATCGTGATAATACACCAGGCATCAGTAGCACCGTTATAGAAATAAGACAAACTAAAGGGGTTGATAATTCACTAGGATCGTGAATGGCCGAGATTAGATTTAACATTTAGATCGTAGATGGTTGATGATGGTTGATGGTTGATGATCGTAAATGGTTGATAATGCTTTAATAGACTTTAAGAGACGAGAAATTATGACTCCAATTCCCACCAATACAAGTGCCTGTCTGTGCAAATCAAATTATGAGAAGCACTGACAAAACGGAGGTAACAAAAAATGCCAAGAATATTGTGCAAGACACAATTTTCATTTTACGCAACCCATAATAGAAAGGATTGCGTTGTAAAAAACATGTTTTGGCTGATGTAAAAATGAATTTTTAAAAATTGAATGTCTTTCTCCATAGGAGAACTTACCTCTTGTCGGGGATCAACTTCTCCAATACTTTCGTGAACCAACTCAAATCCTTGTCCTCCAGAGCCACCACATGGATGCACAAGAGTTTTCCTCTTTTGATCTTTGTTAAGAAGTCGTTCGCTGAAACCCTCTTTGAGATGCAAATGTCTGTGAGAAAAATGTACGAGTTATTCTCTTATGTATCATAGAATTACTTGATAGTTAAAACCCTGAATTCCTTGAACTAGAATCTGATTGATAATCCATAGTTATTTTCTAGAACGTTGGGCCGGCGGCAAGTGTAATCGCACCGGACTTTCCAACTGAACGTAATTAGATATTATTTGTATGAGGCTTCTATTATTTTGCATAGCAAGCGAAGGTATTCACGTTAAAGTTTGATCTCAAGTGGTTCTGGATTACAGGTTGGGCAATCTACAGTGATGAAACTGCCAGATTTGATTTATTTGCCTGTGATGTGGACTGAGCGTAATAAAATCTCACTACGCGTGAGATTTTATTAGTGGCAACAAATATGAATAAATACCGCTTTTATTTCACGCTCAGATAACTTAATAAGACTTTTTCAAAATTTTGATGCACTTTTGCTCATTCGTCTGAAGCACTTTTGCTTATTTTTCACTTATGCTCATTTGTCAAAATTGTGATGCTTTGTCATTTTAACCCAATTTGACTCGGGAAATGGACATGTCCTGGGATATTAGTGCTAAACGGGTCAGGTGTATCACGCTTTGGACAATATTACCCATCTTTTTTCCTGAGTAAAGGTGCACGTGTAATATATTTTTTATTGAGTAATTATATCTCACGTCTATAGCAATCAATTGCAGGGCTGTCGTTGAAGAGGTTCACGTCAGACGCCGTTTCAAGTCGAAGGCCAATTTTACGAAGGCGCTTGGCCCCCAAATTCTGCAGCGTGCTCTCCCTCATGTGGCCCATGAATGAGAGCACGGAAACCCTGATTAATTCAATAAAATATTAATGAAAATTGTTATGCAGGAATGAATACTAGCATGCATTGGTTCGCGCATAATTTTAAACTCCGGCAAAAGCTGCAATTTTATGGCTTCTTCGTAGAATTTCGACAACTTCAATTCAACTATAGAATTGATATAGTGGCTTTCGATATATTGGGAGGTTTCAGGATAGTTGAATCACTTGACAAAAATTTGATGTTGGTAGAAAGCTGCAAAACTTACGCAGTATTCGAAGTTATGACTGTTAAGCACGATATTTATTTATTTTTTTTTTCAAAACCGTGATCGAGAAAGATAAGTGCAGCAAGTGAATAATTAGCGGCATTAGATATCGGCATCACAGTTCACTTACGTTTAAATGAGAGTCGTTAAATTTATTATTGCAATGCACTTTAAAAATCTGATTCGTGTCATTAACGAGGAGTCGACGAGTGGATAAGGTCACCAAGATTCAAGCAGGGAACTGTGATTTCGAACCAACAGTTCGTTGTGAAAATCCTGGTCGGACTCGATGAAGTTCCTGTGCAGCTGAGCTCCGTTATATTATTGGAGCGGCGAATTTCAGATTCAAGGCCTTTAATTGCTAGCTATAAAATTCTGCTGAGTAGATAAGACAACAGTCAAAACAAGGCCTTTTCTCTACCGCTGACACGAATAATATAATGAAAAATTGCACATACCCATATCCTTCTTTGATGAAATGTTCCAACTTGGCGCAGTCAGCAAGCGGAGTTTCCTTGGCCCAGAATGAATCCAATAATTTTATTTTGACTTGATGTCCTCCTTTTCCAAGCCGGAGAAGAAGTTCAGATAAACTTTGTATGGGTTTGTCGCCAGTGGAGATGACCACGACTGGCCCTGAAGGTTTATGGTCAGAAGTGTTGAGTGTTGCGAGGGCTTTACGCACTTCATATTCGCCGTGTATGGTCCAGCTCTCGCCATTCCTCAGCAGCTCTTCTGGTAAGATTGCAGTAGTGGCTTCTTGAAGAGCTTTGTACGTTTTCTGAGATGTTTGAAAATTTTGAACCATTAAATCAATTAAAAACAATTATGTTACGCTACAGCCTGTTTTACTTTCTATTCTATTACATTCTATTCTATGTATTCTATTTACTGAAGTAGAAGAGTCATGATCAAATCAATAAAACTTTCTATTTCTACTAAATTCACATTTAACAAGTCAATTTTAATGCAAAAATTCTTCAGAGCCTGTGATGAATATCATTAAATTTGCGATTCATCAAGGAAAAACACAAGTAAAAATAAATCTAATTTAGTCTTTGGACAAAGAGGCAAGCAGCAGCCCAATACAATGAAGAGTTTATTTATGCTGATGATATTGTACTCACCTTTAATTTTGTCTCCAGCTTTGTCATGTCGAAACACATGGCCTCTATTTTCTTCTCGAGGTTCTTGTATTCTTCATCAGCTCTGGAAATTATTTTACACAAATGCCAGTGATTTTCTTGTAAACTCGCAGAATCATGTGACTCCTCCACAACTCGTGACAATTCTCGGATATGATGTCGCTGCTTGAGAAGATGCGCTTTACGAACTTGTAATGCATCAGCAACTTTTTGAGCCTCATTCATCAATCGCAAACCTTCATCGCAGTCATCTATGCTCTCCTTGACTGACGTTTCAAATTTTGCACCAATCTGGTTCCGAAAATCAACTTTAACAAATTTCGGTGCCATTTCTTGGCGGAACATGTCGCTTGCAACAACAACCCCGTGGGTATAATGCAGCTCAGGGCAACTCTTGCAAGTTGCAACTTGACATTTGCAGCACCAGTTCTCCAAAGACTGTCCGTGAATTGAACAGAAGTCATACAAAAAGACTTCATCAATCGAATTTACATTGCTGACCACTGAACTCTCGCCAATTTCTTCTTCGTATTTGCATTGATTTCGGGGTTCGGTTTCAGTTTGGCAGAAATTTTCGTTGAGTGAAGTCGACGCTTTTTGGCAAAGCACACATGGATGACCACACGGAAGAGCTAAAGATTGTCCTTGTCTGCTGTCTATTACTGATTTTACTTCATCTATTAAGCTAGATACTTTCAGCACAGATGCTGTTAAAAAATTCGATGCCATCTTTGCTGGTCTTCGAATGTTTGCCCAATTCACTCAGAGATCAAAAATAAAAGGAATATTACTTCGAAATATTACTTATTAAGTTATTCTCTGTTGTTAGTCCTTTGATGCCTCACAAAGCGTTTCAATATTGAATCTATTCTCTCCTTCCTTCCATCTTTTAACGCAAAACATTAAAATCAATAATTATACAATAAAATTTAATAAATGCAGAATTAACTTAATAAATGCTCACATGCTTTATTACACGTAACTGTAAGTAAGATTGCGCTATAACACGTAAGAACACCTCGTCTACAACTGTTGCACTAAATAATCGAATCCGCATTCTCGAGTACCAGATCGCGGGTTTCTTCTGATAACAAATCACTAAAATTGCGTCGAAGATAAGATTAAACTGATGTGGCTTCACCTGTTTATATTCATAAGTTCCAACCAATCAGCGGTTTCCGATAGCGTGCATTACGTTTATTTAGATAAGAGACGGTATATTAATGATAGCATAAATATTGCGTTTAGCTAGCGCTAATGTCAAACTTTGTCTTAAATTTCATTTATTTAATGTCATACTGACTTGCATTTTATACACTCTAGTTTTGCGCGTGTATAGTTTGACCAGATTAGATCTCAAATTTAACTGAATTTCCACAATTCATATCAGCAGAAAATTATGTGTTTTCGCAATTACACGATTGACCATTTTGTGGGGGTAAGTAGAACCAATAACCGTTCTCGTTTCATTAAAATATATTGTATGCGGACAAAGGAAATACTGCCACTTGGAATTTTCAACGGGACCACATTAGTGTTGTAATAAAATTTTTTGGTACATTAATTTCAGCAAAATTCACCGGAGAAACCATCAAAAACTGTACATTTGTACATCTAATACAAAATGTTCAGTTATTTAAAATACCAGTGCTAGTTCCATGCCAGTATTAAAGTGCATCACTGAATTGGGCTGCTTATCTCAATCTGATAAATTACGTTATATGCGGCAGAAATGAATTATTCATCGGCATAAAATTTTTATTGACCATCAGTTTCAACCGCATAATCTTTGCTGTGACAACTCGAGGCAATTCCAACTCAACAGCTTTGTGCATCCTATAATTGATTCACAACAAATGGTCAATTCACAATGTATGGTCAATTGACAAGTTAATTTACTTAAAAGTCTCTCAGAATTTTTATGAAATTTTAAGTCTAGGACAAGCTCCCAAAAACAGACAAATCCGATGACAGGCATTTATATTTGTCAGGCACACTCTTCCCGTGCTAGGCATTTCACGCAACGAGCGTTTAATGACTTTGATGAAAAATGCCTCCTAATAGGCGGATATCCCAGTTAAAATATTGAGCCGAGACCGGCGCCGTGTTTAGCCGGGCTGGTCGCGCTTTAGCAGGATGGAACCGTGAAACTATAACCGGCCATCTATCCCTAAAACTGCGCTGCCCCATGGCTAATATAGAGACAAATTCTAACAGCTCGACAGGGCCGGAACGCTGCGCTGTTTTAGCGCTGGTGCTTGGGTTGCCCGGCAGCGAGCTGAACAGAGCAGCTAAGCAGGCCGTGCATCGGGGGGTTTTGAGAGAGGGAGGAGGGGTAGGGGTTGGAAACAGTGGCGGGAGAATGAACTTGATCCTCCATCTAGTTCATTCGCATAGTACAACATTTTGGGTCAATTTCTGGTGCCAGTTATGATATTTATTTCACGTCAGTATTTTAATATTTTTAATTACGTAAGAATTTTATATACTCTTCCAGTTTTAACACGCGAACAGAAACGTTTGCGGTCATTCTTGCGTTGCTAAAGCGAAATACCAATCAGTTTATCATGAGAAAGTTTTCTAACTTGGATTTACAGAAAACGCGTTAATAACAGTAAATGCTAGAGCAAAGAAAATACCAAGAAAATTTACCATATTTTCAATGAAAATGTGTAAGCCAGCACCATCATCAGTTGAAAAAATTGTTTCGGTGCGACCTGATTGAATTGATTGACCTGCGTTTCGGTGCTGGTCTCCGAAACGTTTTCATTGAAGATATAGTGAATATATTTTGCGCTTTCTTTGCATTAAAACTCTTGGAGAACTTGCGATTTCAGCAGACTAATGATTTGCGTACGTTGTTAATTTTCCTATCAAACTATCGAATGACATGAAGCTAATGCACTAAGATATATTAATAAACAAATTTAGCTCTAATATTCACTTACATCTAACTGACGGGATCAAACGAATGGCTACTTTGTTCATTTATTGAAATCAGTGTATTATGAATAATATCTATCACGTTCAACCACAAATATACGTAGCTATTCCTCGATTTGCTAGATGATGGTGAATCATTTGTTCCGTATTATAGTTAAGTAGTTCATAGAGCCTTGGATGGTAAGGTGTCCGCGCGGTCAAGCCGGTACAGGCGTGGACTACGACGCGGAGGATCTGCGTTCAATTCTTGGAGCTGCCGTCGACGTTTATAGGTAGTTCATAGCTGTAAGTAATTTTATGTGTATATGTCCTCGATAATTGAATTTGTTAGGTTCGAAATAACGTTGCTAAATTCAATACGATGTGAATGTGAAAAACCAATGTCTATACAACCTGTTCTTGCAATAGAGAAGTATAGGTGATCTCAGAGAGAGAAGGAAAAAAATTTTTAAATCGTTGTTGACAAACGGTAACGCGTAACTGCCGCGTACACTGCCAGAGCCGCCCCAAAGCGGGCGTTGGGCAGGTTTGAGCAGGCGGTGCTCAGTAAGGGCTGCGTGATGGCAGGACAGAACACACCTGGGCAGGTACTCAGAGGCTAATTAGCGCTGATACGCGGCTGGCGATATCGTCTCTAAAGCGGACATTTCTGCTCTATCGCGGCTCTGTCGCGTATCTACGTCGGCTCTGCAGCCGGCGACGGCCTGCTCTATTCCCTGCCCTAAATTTTAACTGGGTATTATAACTAATTTGACCCTTTATTATCACTTATTTGATATGTAATTATCACCAATTTAATCCATAATTATCACCGATTTGATCAGTTATTATATCTAATTTGACCCTTTATTTTCATTAATTTGACATGTAATTATCACAGATTTAATCCATAATTATCACCGTTTTGATCATTTATTATTATAACTAATTACATCCGTTATTAACACCAATTTGATCCGTAATTATCACTGGTTTGATCCGTAATTAGCACCGTTCTGATCCGTGATTATCATCAATTTAATCCATAATTATCACTAATTTAATCCATAATTATCACCATTTGATCTGTAAGTATCACCGATTTAATCCGTAATTATCACTGATTTGACACGTAATTATAACCAATTTGATCCGTATTTATCACTAATTTGATCCGTAATTATCACCAATTTCTGCGTCGGCGTTAACATTTGAGTGCATGGAAGGTACGTCTCAAACAGCTGGAGCTGGTTACACTCACAGAAATTAGGAGTCTTTGTCCAAGTCGCAATGCACTTTTCGTTCTTCTGCGAGTTTCCCTTACCCAGTTTAGCTCTGCAAAATCGCGTATCAATGCTACGTAATTTTCCGATGTTCGTATTTTGGCGTCAAGATGCCGCTCAGCGCGGAGGTCGTTTACATAGACGTCAGTATCAACAAAATTATCTATGTGTATGCATAGACATCCAACTAATTATTAATTAAATAAGTATGCAGGTCAGCAGGGTCTAATACTGTATGAGGTTCAAAACTTAAGATAAATATATGTTTTGAATGCATTGTAGTTGTTACCATTGTTCTCGTACTAAAATGGTTCATCAGTGTCTGATCCCCGAGTCGAAATTCTATTTATCAAATTTAAATCTACAGTTTCCGGTCATAGTTACAGGATAATTTAACTCACCTGTACAGTATCCTGTCATTATAAAAGGATATTTTCACTTGCATGTAAACCTGTCATAATTGTAAGATATTCATACAGATGTTAGATGTATATATAGTATCCTGACTTGCTTGGAGGATATATTTAACTACATGTACAGTGTCCTGTAATTATCAAAGGATATTTTTACTGGCACGTAATCCTGTCATAATTGGACGATATTTATATCTACTTGTATAGGATCTTGTCATTATAGGAAAATATATTTTGTGTTCCTATTTAACTTAGTATATTTTTGTACCCGGTAAAGTATGCGTGTGGAAAGGATATGGTATTATAGTGAAAAATAATTTTTTTTACTTCATCTTCCTCTTCAATTTAGCTGAAGGAGGTTTCTAGTGCAAACAACAGCAGTCGTAGCTTTAATTAAAACTTGCTAACCTTGAACATAACCTGGAATGGTTTGAGACATCGCTTGCTTTATTCATAATAATGATAAAATAAAAACTTAATGTAATTTTCATTTTACAATAATTATAAATTTAACAAAAGATGTATTATACGCAGCATGGCTTTTTCTTCCGCATAGGTGGTGATTGTAGCAATGCATTGTATATATTGTCTTGTATAGATAATATGAAAAAATATTTTATTTTTCATCGTCTGAAAATTTGGAAAAATCAAATTAATAATTATTATATGTTAATCCCATTTTATTTGTTTCATTTCATCCTGCCTGGTCCAGTGATTTACAATTTCGTAAAATTGTCTTAAATAAAATAAAATCTGGTAGAATCTAATTGGAAAGACCAAATTGAACGTTGTTTATCAATCTATTATAATAGAAAATTCATGGCAAAATGAATGAAGAATATAAATGAAGAAGTTGACGTAAAAATACAAGAATAATCGTAAAAAAGATTGACCCAGAACTATAATACCTGCAAAGCATATAATCTAGTGTATGTTGTATTATCTATTATCTATTGTATTATCTATTTATTCTTATCGAGAGAAATATATCTTGTTTCATCTACTGTACGGAAAATGAGATTTAAACAAACTGAAGAAAATAAAGTTAAGATTGCACAGTATAGCAAATCGCTCACGTATGTACAACCATAAATTTC